TCTCTCTCTACCTCTCTCTCCTCATCTTATGTGGATATATATGTGTGTTTGTGTGTGTGTGTGTGTGTGTATTGGTATGTGAACGTGTATATGTGTGTGTGTGTATTGGTATGTGTATGTTTGGTGTATGCGTATGTTGCGTGTATGTGTTTGTGTATCTGTATGAGTATGTATGTGTGTGTATGTGTATTGGCATTGCATGTATTGTGTGTACTTTTGTTGTGTTTAGTGAGTGAATGAGTGCCGGGGATGTATGTATGTGTATGGGTATGTGTGTGTGTTATTGGTTATGTTGCATGTGTATGTGTTGTATGTGCATGTGTATGTGTATGTGTGTGTTTATTTTTGTGTGTGTTAGCGAGTGAATGAGTGCCGGGGATGTATTATGTGTATGGGTATGTGTGTGTGTGTATTGGTATGTGCATGTGTATTGTGTTGGTATGTTATGTGTATGTGTATGTGTGTGTGTATTTTTGTGTGTGTTAGTGAGTGAATGAGTGCCGGGTTGTATGTATGTGTATGGGTATGTGTGTGTGTGTATTGGTATGTGCATGTGTATGTGTGTGCGTATGTGTATTGGCATTTGCATGTGTGTGTGAGTATTTTTTGTGCGTGTTAGTGAGTGAATTGATGCCGGGATGGTGTTACTTCACACATCTAAGCACGGACATCACAAGCAGACTTCCCGACCAGTGTTTTCACCAATTTCCCCTTAATGAGGCGAAGCGACGAACCAACATCGAGATCCAATTTGTGGCGCTCTTGTTTACCCTCATAACCGCTGAGTGTTGGCGGAGGGACGGAAGCCACGGGGGGGGGGGGAGATGAGGGGAAATGAGGGGAGAAGAGGGGGGTGGGGAAGTCACGGGAGGGGAATAAGGGGGGAAGGGGGAGGGGAGGGGGGAGTCACAGGGAGGGGAGAGGGGGAAGGGGGGCAAAGGGGAGGTGGAAGGGGGGGAGTCACAGGGGAGAGAAAGGGGGGGAGCCAGGGGATGGAGAGGGGGGGGGAGTTATAGGGGAGGGGGAAGGGGAAGGGAGGGGAGCCACAGGGGAGGGTAGAGGGGGGAGCCACAGGGAAGGGAGAGAGGGGGCCAAAGAGGAGGGGGAAGGGGGGGAGTCACAGAGGGAGGGTAGGGGGGGGGGAGCCAAGGGAGGGGGAAAGGGCGGGGAGTCACAGGGGAGTGGGCAGGGGGAGCCAAGGGGAGTGGCAGGGGGGAGCCAAGGGGGAGGGGGAAGGGGGAAGCCAAAGGGGAGGGAGAGGAGGGTGGAGGTTGACAATTACTCTTTCACCAAGAAACCGCAGGCAACTTTTTTTTTTTTTTTTTTTTTTTTTTTTTTTTTTTGATGGAGTTTCCCGTTCAACAAATGCATGATCGCATATAAAAAGATAATGATAAATAAATAATGAAAAAAAAATAAAAATAAAAAAATCTTCTTTTAGATGGTCTTCCCTGCTCGAAACAAATCCTCAATGAACTAATAAAAAAAAAAGAAGAAAAAGAAACACCATTTTAACTCTCTGACTCGACAGAGAATGAAGCCTTCGAGTGGAGACTCTCGGAGTGGCTTGTGTGTATTTAGGAAGATAACGATCGTCGTATAAAACCTTTTTTTTTTTTTTTTTTTTTTCTCTCTCTCACCTGGACCACGTCAGAAAGAGAGAGAGGGAGAGAGAGAGAGAGAGAGGAGGGGAGGGAGGAGGGAAGGAGAGAGAGAGAGAGAGAGAGAGTGAGAGAAATATAGAGAGAGGGGGGTGAGAGAGAGGGGGAGGGAGGGAGAAAGAGGGAGGGAGGGAGAGAGAGAGAGAGAGGGGGGGGGGGTGAAGAGAGAGGGAGAGGGAGAGAAGAGAGAGAGAGATAGAAAGGAGAGAGAGAGAAAAAAGAAAGAGAGAGAAAAAAGAAGAAGAGAGAAAGAAGGAGAGAGAGGAGAGGGGGAGAGAAAAAAAAAAAGGAGAGAGAGAGAGAGAAAGAGAGAGAGGGGGAGAGAGAAAAAAAAGAGAAAGGGGAGAGAGAAGAGAGATAAAGAAAGAGAGTAGAGAGAGAGAGAAGAAAGAGAGAGAGAGAGAAGAAAGAGAGAGAAGAGAGAAAGAGAGAGAGAGAGAGAGGAATTGGATCGAAGGATTGCCTTCCATGGCCTATGGAAGAGCGGGGTGTGACAGCTTCCATTCCGTTATAATATTATATATGCATATCGTAATATCTTCCTTTCTTCCTTTTTTCTCCATTTATGTTTAGCTTTCGGTGTGAGTTTTTTTTTTTTTTTTTTTTTTTATCCACCTTCTCTGTCTTTGATTTTCCACATTATCTTTCGTCTTTTTTCTCCCTCTTCCCTTTCCATTATCCCCCCCCCATCCCATTTTCCTTTTCTTTCTCCTACTTCCCTTTCGCTTTTCTCCTCTCCTACTTCCTTTTCTCTTTTTTTCTCTCCTCCTTTCCTTTTCTCTTTTCTTCTCCTACTTCCCTTTCTCTTTTCTCTCTCTACTTCCTTTTCTCTTTTTCTCTCTCCTACTTCCTTTTCTCTTTTTCTCTCTCCCACTTCCTTTCCTTCCCCTACTTCCATCCATCTTTGTCGCTTCCTCTTTCCTCTCTCTCGTTCATCTCTCCGCCTCTCTCTTCTCTTCTCTCTTGCTTCTCCTGACTTCCTCGTCGACTTATGCTCTTTGCTCTTTCCTTCCCCTCTCCCTCATCCTTTTCCCTCTCTTCCATTCCTTGTTATTCTTATTCTTTCCTTCCGCTGTTGGCTTTCCCTTGCTTTCTCATTTTCTTTGGATTTCCTTTTTTTTCGTTTTTTACACTTTCACTTTTTTTTTTATTTTTTTTTCCATCTTCCTTCCTCTCCTCTCTCTCTCTCTCTCTTCCTCCTCTATCGGCTCTCTATCTCTCTACTCTCTCTCTCTATCTCTCTATCTCTCTTCTTCTACTCTGCTCCTATCATCTCTATCTCTCTCTTCTCTCTCTCTCTCCTTCTATCTCTCTCCTCTCTCTCTCTTTCTCTCCCTTCTCCTCCTCCTCCTCTCCTGCTCGTCTCTCGTATCTCTCTTCCTCCTCAGTCCCTCCCACCCTCCGCCCCCTGTCTTCCAATCCAACCTCTCTCTACCTCTTCAATCCCCACACACATACTATATCAGACCTCTTTCCACACACACCTTAACTCAATAATACACTCCTCTCCCTTCTTATACTCTTTAAAACAATACCATACCTCAATCCCCCCCTACCTCCAACGCACCCCTTCTCTCTCATTCCCTCACTCTCTCTCTTCCTCTCCTCTCTCCCTCTCTCTCCCTCTTCCCTCTTCCTCTCCCTCCTCACCTCTCCCTCTCCTCTCCCTCTCTCTCGTGCCTCTCACCTCTCCTCCTCTTCCCTGCTCCTCTCCTCTCCCTCTCCTCTCCCTCTTCCTCTCACCTCTCTGCCTCCCGGTCCTCCACCTCTCTCTCTCTCCTCTTCTCTCTTCTCTCTCTCTTTCTCCTCTCCTCTGCCTCCCTCTCTCTCCCCTCCGCTCTCTCTCCTTCCTCTCTCCTTCTCTCTCTCTCTTTTCTTCTCTTTCCTCCTCCTCCTTCTCCCTTTGTCTCGCCCTTTATCCCTTCCGTGGAATCGACTCCATATCTCGCTATATTGCGCCGAGCTCGAACTGTTCCAAAATTAGAAACCCGGTAATTCATCATCATCATCTCCCCCCGCCAGCCCCTCACCTCCATTCTTCTCCCTCTTTACCTCCTTCCTTTCATTCTCATCCTCCTCTTTGCCTCCCTTCCGTTTCATTCCCATCCTCCCCTCCTACCCTCCTCCTCCATTCCGTCCTCCCTCCTTTACTCTTCCTTTCATTCCATCCTACCCTTCCCTCCCTCCCTCCATTCCTTTCTCCTCTCTAACCTGCATTCTTTCATTTCTGCCTACCCCTTCCTTCGCTCCCTTCCAGTCTTTCCTCCTCTTTACCTGCCTTCCTTTCATTCCCCCTACCCCTCCCTCCCTCCTCCATTCCCTCTCCCTCTTTACCTCCTTTCCTTTCATTCCTCCTACCCTTCCCTCCCTCCCTTCAGTCTTTCTCCCTCTTTTACTCCTTCCTCTTTCATTCCCTCCTACCCTCTCCCTCCCTTCAGTCTTTCCTCCCCTCTTACCTTCCTTCCCTTTCATTCCCTCCTACCCTTTCCCTCGCCTCCCTTCAGTCTTTCCTCCCTCTTTACGTCCTTCGGCTTTCATTCCCTCCTACCCCTTCCTCCCTCCCTCCATCTCCTCCCTCTTTACAACCTCGCTTCCTTTGCATTCTCCTTCCTACCTCTTCCCGTCCCTCTTCAGTTCTTTCCTCCCTCTTTACCTCCTTCCTTTCATTCCCTCCTACCCTTCCCTCCTCCCTCCATTCCCTCCTCCTCTTTACCTCCTTCCCTTTCATTCCCCTCCTACCCTTCCCTCGCTCCTCCAGTCTTTCCTCCTCTTTACCTCTTCCTTTCATTCCTCTACCCTTCCCTCCCTCCCAGTCCTCCTCCCTCTCTACTCCTCCTTTCATTCCCTCCTACCCAACCCCCTCCATTCCTCCTCCTCTTACCTCCTTCTTTCATTCCCTCCCTACCCCTTCATCCCTCCTCCATTCCCTCCTCCTCTTGACCTCCTTCTTTCTTCCCATCCTACCCTTCCCTTCCTCCCTTCCTCCCTTCTTTCGCCTCCTTCCTTTCATTCCCTCCTACCCTTCCCCTCTCGCCTCCATTCCTCTCCCTCTTTCCTCTTCTTATCCCTCCTAACCCAACCTCCCTCATTGCCGTCCCTCCCTATCCCTCCTTCTCCCTCCCTACTCCTTCCTTTCATTCTTCTTCCCCTCCTCCCTCCTCTCTCCATTTCCTCCTCCTTCCTCTCCTTTCATCACTCTTCTTCCTCCTCCTCCTTTCATTCCTTCTTCTTGCCTCCCTCGCTCCTTCCTCCTTCATCTCCCCTCCTCCTTTCCTTCATTCCTTCCCCTTCCGCGCTTCCTCTTCCTCCGCTCCTCCGGCTGCCTCTCCGCCTTTCTTCTCAATGCTTTGCGACTCCACCTGATGCTCTCCGCGCCCATGCTCTTTTCTCCGCCGCCCACGCTCTCCGCCGCCCATGCTCTCCGCCGCCCATGCTCTCTCCGCCGCCCACGCTCTCGCTGCTCTCCGCCGCCCATGCTCTCCGCCGCCCATGCTCTCCACTGAAATGCTCTCGCTCCGCATGCTCTCTCCGCCGCGCCATGCTCTCCGCCGCCCACGATGCTCTCCGCCTGATGCCTCTCCGCCGCCCATGCTCGTCCGCCTGCCCATGCTCTCCGCCGCCCACGCTGCTCCATCTGCTCTCCGCCGCCACCTGCCGCTCCTCCGCGCCCATGCTCTCTCCGCTCACGCTCTCCACCTGATGCTCTCCGCTCTCTCCGCCGCCCATGCCTCTCCGCCGCCCATGCTCTCCGCCGCCCATGCTCTCTCCGCCGCCCACGCTCTCCACCTGATGCTCTCCGCCGCCCACGCTCCGAGAGGCTGTCAATGTCCGACACACCTTCAGCATTCCCGTTATATTCCTCGTCGCCTACTCCAGCATTCCCATTCCCGGTCGTCGTCTGGAACGCCCCGGGAACGAAGATTGGATTCCGGTCCGTAGCCGATCAGGAGGCGGTGTGCTTTTAGTTCCAGTTCGGATTAGAAGGTGGTCGCTCTGGGAAGGAAAGTTGGGGCCATGCAAGTGTTTTTTTTTTCTTTTTTTTTCTTTTTTTTTTCTTTTTTCTTTTTTTCTTTTTTCTTATTTCTTTTTTTCTTATTTCTTATTTTCTTTTTTTTCTTATTTCTTATTTCCTTATTTTTTTCTTTTTTTTTTCTAATTTCTCTTTTTTTCTTATTTCTTTTATTTTTTCTTATTTTTTTCTTCTTTCCTTCTTTCTTTTCTTATTTTCCCTAAACGGAACACTTTACATTGTCTCGTTTGTAAAAAAGAATAAAAAAACGAATGATGATAACAAACACTAACAATAACGATAAAAATAAGAGTCATGATAATGATAACGAAAATAAGTGATAAAGTGAGGTATGTAAATAAGTGGTTATCTGGTCCACTTTTAATTGATTTTCACTTAAGGAAACCCTTACTTGCAGTCACCTGATTGAGTCTCTCTTAGCCATTACACGCACACCAAGGCATTCAGAGAGAGAGAGAGAGAGAGAAAGAGAGGTAGAGAGAGGTAGAGAAAGAGAGGTAGAGAGAGGAAAGAGGAGAGACGAGAAAGAGAGAGAGAGAGAGAAAGAAATAGAGAGAGAAAGAAATAGAGAGAGAAAGAATAGAGAGAGAAAGAAATAGCAAGAAATAGAGAGAGAAAGAAATAGAGAGAGAAAGAATAGAGAGAGAGAGAGAGAGAGCACGCACCGCACACAACGAATCCTAAATATAACCTCTTAGCGAGTCAATAACTAACAACTATACATAGCTATAAATTGCCAGATACAATAGTCACCCCCAACAAAGGGAGAGAAGTGGACAGACAACAGACAACAGAAAACGGACAACGTGTGTGGGAGGGAGCGAGAGGGGGACAACGTGTGGGGCTAATGGGATAGACGCACAAGATTGGGGTGGGTGGGGTGGGGGGGTATTATGGGGGGGAGGGGGAGAGGGGATAGGCATTGAAGATGACGCTCTGCGGGGGGCGTTATGGGGGAGGGGAGAGGGAGGTGGGGTATGGTAGGGGGAGAGGAGGCAATGAAGGGGAGGGGAGGGGATGGGAAGAAGGGTAGGGGGAGAGGGGGGTAGGTTAAGGGAGGGGAAGAAGGGTAGGGGGAGGAGGGGGGTAAGGGTGGAGAAGAAGGGTAGGGGGAGAGGAGGGGAAGACGGGTAGAGGGAAAGGAGGGCAATGAAGGGGAGGAGAATAGAAGGGGAAAGAGGGCATAGGAGGGGAGGAGGGATAGGAGGAGCCGGAGAAGGGGGAAGTAAGGGAGAGGGAGAGGAGGGTAATAAGGAGAAGAGAAGGAGGTGAAGCAGGGGGAGAGGGGAAGGGGGGCAGGTGGTACGTATGGGAGGGGGAGGTAGGCAGAGGAAGACGAAAGGGAGATGTAGAATGAGTGATGTGAAAAGAGGGGAAAGTAAAGCGACGTGAAGGGACTAGGGTTAATTCTGTGAGCGGTAGAGAGAGAGAGAGAGAGAGAGAGAGAGAGAGAGACGAGAGAGAGAGAGAGAGAGAAGACGAGAGAGAGGAGAGAGAGAGAGAGAGAGAAGAGAGAGAGAGAGAGAGAGAGAAGAGAGAGAAAGAGAGAGAGGAGAGAGAGAGAGAAGAGAGAGAGAGAGAGAGAGAGAGGGGAGAGAGAGAGAGAGAAGAGCGAGAGAGGGGAGAGAGGGAGAAGAGAGAGAGAAGAGAGAAAGAGAGAGAGAGAGAGAGAGAGAGAGAGAGTAAGAGAGAGAGAGAGAGAGGAGAGAGAGAGAGAGAGAGGAGGAGAGAGGGAGAGAGATGGAGAGAGAGAAGAGAGAGAGAGAAGAGAGAGGAAGAGAGAGAGGAGAGAAGAAGAAGAGAGAGAGGGAGAGAGGGAGAGCAGGGAGAAGAGGGTAGAGAGAGAGAGAGAGAGAGAGAGAGAGAGAGAGAGAGAGGATAGAGAGAGAGGGAGAGAGAGAGAGAGAGGCGAGAGAGAGAGAAGAGAGAGAGAGAGAGAGAGGAGAGAAGAGAGAGAAGAGGGGGAGAGGGAGGCCAGGGAGAGAGGAAGAGAGAGAGAAGGAGAGAGAGAGACGAGAGAGGAGAACAGAGAGAGCAGAGAGAGCGAAAAGAGGAGAGAGAGAGAGAGAAGAAGACGGAGAGGAGAAAGAGGGGAGATGATAATGGGGTAATCATGAATGTTGGTTTTGAACAAAAATGAATAAAATGATAGTAAATGTGAGAATAATGAGAATTTATAAAAGGTAAGGTTGGGTCCTACACCCATAGACTCCAACGTTGGGCGACAGGGGATTGATATAGAGAGAATAAGAGGAAATAATTAATATAATAACGGAGCTTCGACATGATACGGGATATAGATAGCCAAAAATGCAAGCGCTTAAATAACATCAGTTTTGATATCATAACATTCACTATACGTTACTGTGTGGGGGTGTGTTTCT